TGTTTCAAGTCTCCGCCTCACTGTTTACTGTCCGCAGTGTTTTTGATCAACTCTCAGTGCTGAACACGGAGGTGAAGGTACTCTTTTAATCTTTTTTATCTCCAAAAAACTGACTTTTAGTAACCGAGTAGGCATTGATAGCATTTTATTTTTAAAACACTCTATCTTCCTTCGGCATTTCTTAATAATTTTAAGAAGAGTGAACCTTCACAAGGGAACAAATTGATTTTTCAGTTGATTTCTTGGTTAATTTATCTTTAAAAAGGGCAATGCAATAAATTGTCTAAACCAGGTTTTAACAAAGTCGTAGGAAAATTTGGAATTTTTGTTTTTATTTAGCGTGAATATGGAACTCAGTCAAGGATACTAAGCACTGAGGATAATTTCTTCCAATTTAGCCCGTAAGACTGCAGCGGCACACCATGGCACTAAAGAAAATCATCAGTTATGGCTAAAACGCGTTTTAAAATACGTCAACGTCAAACTGATAAGACAATTAGTTCTGAGTAAATCCACTTTTGATTTCCTCTACAGTCATATGATACAACCATTTTTTGCTGGGTATAAACATTACGTAAGAAAAGTACCGCTCAGTTAGTCTTCATTTGGCTACGAAAGCCACAATCTTATCCACAGACTAAACTGAGAAAGTAAGAACAAGTTTTAAAAGAACCCCTGGAAACAGGAATTCTGCTTTGACGCTTTCAGGAAGGGTCACCCTTTACAATTTTACCCGCAAACGGCAAGACAACCTTGTATAGACTTCTCTTCCATGGCTCGAAAAGGGTCGGCCTTCCCGGCACAACGTGGGGAGTCTATGTACACTCTCACAATAAACAACACCTCATGCAGGATATTAATGCGGGATAGCTTTCATCGGGTCACACTTGAGGAGTTAATCTAAAGATTAGAAAGTTTGAAAAACTTTTCTGTAGTTTAATAAACAAAGAGCAGCTCAATACTTTAATTGGAACGGGTGACACACTTATACTCAAAAGGTTACGAACCTCCCCTAGAGAATAACAAATGATTTCCTCAAAGCGGAATCCAATTACCTTCATTAAAATGAGCATACTTTAGAATATATTTCAAGGATTTGAAAGTAAATAGAAGAATAAGAGACAAAACATTTCGAAAAAGGGAATGTTTCAGTACAAAGACGAAAGATGTATTCAAGTTATACAAGATTTCTTGATTTTCAATAGCTTTCATCTCAAAACAGTCACTCTTTCAAAAATCATTCGGCACTTGATTTCGTTTTCCAGCAAGTTCAAATTCGCCACTAGAACGTACTGAACGAAAGGGATTTTTAATGACTTCCGGAACGATGTGAAACTTGAGTATTTGAGTTAAGTTAACAAGAAAAACTGACAAGAACTGTAGTCTCTTTTGACTTTCCAAGAAAGTAGGATGCAGATGTTCTAACCGACGAGTATCCTGGGCGTTGCCGGACGTTTCTTAAAAATTGAGATAAGCAAAAATCATACACCGTCAAGACGAAATCTGTGAAAGGGAAACAGCGAGTGGCAACAGGTTTATCAGGGGATTCATCATCGCGGAAGCTTTTTAAACCCCAGACGCCGTTTTAGAGCGAGGTATAGTAGTCAAATATCAAGCATGATAGAAGAGGCGAAACACTGGCCCACACTGCCAAAGAAAAGAGGTGTACTTTTTTAGGGTAGCAAGTGTCACACTAGTAAGTAAAGTGTCACCTGGTCACAGGTGTTGTGTCGCCTTAACTCGCTTAAAACCGCGAGCAGGATCGGGAGAGTATCTAGGAAGTGCGATCACTGAGCGACCGATAGACGACTAGTTTCGATCAATTTCTTTGAGCCGAAAATTAATTCAACCGCACCGTAAATTCAACTGATGCTAATTTATAATCAATACCACCACGGTTGTTTTGCAATTAACCTAATAACAAAAGAAGGCGAGTTTTTATCTCTAATGATGTTTCACTCTCTCATTCTTGGCTGTAGGGCACTTTGCGTCTTATTGTTCTCTAAATTCCCAGACTAAACAGAAGAGAACATGCGGACCTTAGTTGTGTAAATATACTGACCGCAATGTTCCTTCAGGTTCGAAAGTTGCCTTAAAAGGACCCAAATAGTTTATTAAAATCTAGTGCTAAATGAGATTAAAGCAATGGAAAGCTCGTGACTTTTATTGCTACAAAGTAGTAAACAAAACAGAACATTTGGATTTCCGTAAAAAAAAAAAAAAAAAAAAAAAAAAAACAGCAAACCCTGGAGCAAGTGTAATTTTGATCCCCTCTTGAAGTACACTGTGGATATTGTTAGCTTTTCGATCTCGCGCCCCTTATAACAATGACGTCAGGGACAAAAGTTGAAACGCCTTGATAACAAAGAGGCTTTGTCATGCAATGAGCCACTTCGAACCTGCCTTAGTATCATCTGACGTCAGAAAACACCAAACACTTGTCAGAGACGTTGTAGTATGTACGATAGAAGTGTGCATTTTATAAATTCTTATTCCAAACCGTATGCATTCATACCTTCATTATGTAGTCATACTACAAAGTAGCCCACGTGTAGACGGGGATAGGGTGCGGCTACACGTAGGCTAACTATAAAGCAAAGCCTGATTTCTGAATGTTCCTAAGACTATTAAAAATCTTTGTTGATGTTCTAACTGTGCTGAAGCGTTTCAAACTTTGAACCTGTCGCCTACTCCGATCAAGATCATGTGATGATAAAAGATACACTCCCATCTCCCTGCCCTAACGATGAAAATAACTAACTTCCTGGTAACGGAAGCTGCAATATATAGCCATGTATTTATCCAATAAGCTTCGGACTTTCGTACGCTGAAATAATCTCGCGTGAATAATCAATTTTTCAGTACTCGTCTGCCGTATTCGAAACTGATGGCAGAACAAGCAATCGAAATCAAAGGCGAAGAATTTTAACTCAACTCAGGTAAAATGATAACGTTCTTTAAATGTAGTATTGTTCACTGCTGCTTCTGTAAAGGAAAACACTTGAAGATTATTGGTCTCCCGAACCAATACGGAAGAGCGTACACGCGATGTTTACGCGCGAGGTTGACTCGCGAGGGAATTCTGGGACTCAGTGAGTTAGTTGACTTATGTTGTTTTCGAGTCCTAAACCATCTCAGAATGTTTCTTTAGAAGCAAAGTAAAACTAAGGTGAATCGCTTCTTTTTTAAGATGTTCGGTATTAGGTTACGTACGGCGCGTGGTTCTTGTGTTAATTCGCGTGACTAGGGAACGAGCTAATTTTGTGACTATGTTTTTTTTCGGGAGCTCCATGTGTGGTGGGTGCCTGGTATGCGGACGAAGTTGTTATGTACAATGGCATTTCTGGCCTGGCTTCAGTTAATGTAGTCAAAGTAAGAAAATAACGACGTTTTCGTTGCCAAAACTGAAAAAAGGGAAACACACACACACACACACACTAGTTAACGGTGCAGACCTCAGTGACAAGGAATGCTAACTGCTTCCTCGGCCACAGGGAATGCTTAATGTTCTGTATTCCCAAATTTGACCTCTGTTGACAACTTAACCGGAAGCGAAAGAAACCCACAAGACTCCTTACAATTCCGGAATTTGTCTATCTTGTGCGCGCGAGGGATTTTGTCAAATACAGCAGACACTATGCTACTCTATCTCGGTAAAGTTATAAAGAAAATTTGTTCCTTTGTTGAGAGAATCTCCGGGTTTTTTTCTTCTCCTTGATGTTTAACATTTCAGTTTAAAACTGTGCAGTAATCGGCGTAGGCGTTTCAAAAAAAATTAGGAGAAATTTAATTTCTCAGTAAGCTCATTTTATGTTTTATTATCGTTCGTTTAGACTAAATTGGGAATCATATATTTCTTGTCCTCTTTTTGGCATTTTTTCTCTGACAGATTTTCGGACATAATTCACACAAAAATATAACCACAGCTGATATCATAAAATTTACATTTTCACATATTAATCATGATATTGGAATGTCGTGGTACAGTGAATTAAAAATGGACACCTCTTGCAAACGACATTCTCGCGGTTTTGTTCAGAATCTCTCGTCATTTCTCTAGAGAGTTTCCTAACATCCTGCTTAGGAAATTGAAGACGCAAAAAACTGGTTCAAGAAATGATCATTTGGAAAAAAAACAATGATCATAAAGGAACTCGAATTGATTTTTTTAAAAATAAACATTTTAAAAAAATTCTTTGCATCAAACGGCGTGCGTTTTGAATTACCGGGAGATATTGACATTATTGACTTCAGAAAGACCTCATAAGTTACCAAGGCAACGTAGAGCCAATCGTAAAGCGCTTAAGCGTGGCACGATCAGTATGTGCCAATTAAGTTACTTTCGTGTCGGTGGGGGAGGACTGCTGTCATTTACTAATTCTTTCGCATAGCAAACAATAAATTTTGTCAAGCTAATCTGTCTGTCCGATTCACGGCCTCTCTCAAGTATTTCTCAATTTTTACAGGTTTGGGTAAATCGTGCAAGTTTGGCTCGAGGCTGAAGGATCTGAGTCACAGGAAAAAGAGGAATATACACGGCGCGTTCTACAGTTGGCTATCGGAAGTATATTTTGGGTTCTAACTTATAAGTGTGGCGACTCGGACTTGGTGTGGAATGTCAAATATCTTATTGCGTGAGAAAGAGCTCTCAGCTATAAAACACTTGGTTTAACGAGACGAAAGTTTCGATCGCTTGATATTTTTTTCTGTTGAATTATCTGGCAGACAAGAGAGCGTCTGAAGCTCGCTAATCATCAATATACCTACCCGTTACGAACTGGACGACGTGAAACTGCATTCTCAGTTGTTCGACAATGGAATTTGAGAACTCTGAGCTGGCGAATTATCGGAGCTGATAATTTCATCGCTGAAGGGCTTGAGTTCTTTGACTTATTTTAGGATCTTTGGCGATAAAGCCATTTGGAGAGTGCTTGGGAAGCTTGAAACCGAAGGTTTCTAATCTACGATCATAAAGAAAACATAACTTCGAAATCGACAAGATGTCGGGCAGAGAAGAACATCCGAGGCCCAAGGTCTTCGTTGGCAATAGCCAACAAATGCTTCGAGATATAAAACAGAGTTTGAAACATTTGACGAGGCAGCCCGAAACTAAAACACAACAACCGAGTCAGGCGGCTAATGCGGGCCCGAAAGCAAACACAACCGTTGTAGAACAACCGCCACAGTCGAGTGTGGTTGTGAATAGGCCGGTCGGTCATAATCCAAGTCGTCGGTTTAGCGGACATGCCAAGGCTCTGGATCAAATCAGGAGCAGTTTGAAACCTTATGAGGCGCCGGAATCAGGATATTCTTCCTGTACCGAGAGTTGTAGCACTAGTCAGCCGGCTGGAGAAACTATCAACAAACAAGTATTGGAAAAACTCAGGATGCTGGGCTTCGACGAGGTACAGTATTTCTAAAGCTTTGTATTTGCCAAACTGCGCTTTTAAAGTCGCTTTAATACTACTAATTACAAGACCTTCATTTGCTGTTGATTGTTTTTATGTTTAGCTCAATTTCGTGGTTAGATTTTGCTAGTTTTATTGTGTATATCATGGAAGGTGGCAGTAATGAATTCATACCCTATCTCTATATTTACATCCCCACAAGAAATAGACAAGATGGCTTGCATTGTTTCTGTCGTTTCGCTTTACTGCCATCGCTTAGCAGATATAATTCTGGGTACGAAAAGCTCTTTGTTATTCTTTTCGGAGTCCTAAAATGAGCTTTTTGATCGTATTTCGCATACGAAAAAAACAGGTGATTTTCCTGCCGATTGCCCGTGTTTTAAGTCGGCCCGGTACTTTACTTACATCCGCTGTTCTTTATAATCCAAAACATTTCCACCCTCTGTCGAATTACTACTGAATAGCCTAAGCGCATACGTGTAAATCAAGGCCTGTCTGCCCGGAAGCTAAGGTCAGAAGGCTACATCTCTCATGGATTCTTTTCAATTCATGGCTTTTATTTTTGCATCGAGTCCGAATTGCGATCATGTTTTCTGTCGGTCAGTCACGAGCCAAATAATCGCGCGAACGGCATGCACAATCAGGCGTTTGAAAATACGAAGTTCTAGAATTTCCTTTGTTCGTTCGACCTTGTTCCATTCTCAGTTGATGAGAAGCAGTCGAGAACATCTTGACAGCAGCCCCCTTTTCCTGCTGTTATCATTAACGAACGCTGATAACTGTTTCTATTTTAAATAGCTGCCAGTAATCCTTGATTAAATATCAAATTACGGGACTTGAATTCTTTAAATCCCAGCTCATCATCAGGGACCCTTATGAATGTAAACTTGTTGATTGAAATCCCCTCTATCCCACGAAACATATGTTTTTCTATTTTGGGCTGTTTGGGTTCATCAAATTTTTTCGTGCCACAAAATACCCCAGTTTAGCAACTCAGTTCAGTTCTTGATGTTCTTTTAATGGTATGTAACATTCTCTTTCAGGAGTCAGCAACGGAAGCCTTAAGAATGACTCCTGGCAGAACTATGGAGGAAAGAATAGACATGATTGCAGCGATGAAAAGCAGTGGCTACAACAGAGTAAATTTTGGCTCCAATGCTCCTAGTAGTAACCGTACCCAGTTACCTCCTCCGTATAATGCAGCAGTGTATCGTCTGCCTTGGAAAGGCTCCCAGGAGTCTTTGAATAGTCCAAAAAGAGCTGAATCGCCCATGATGGGAGTTGAAGGTTCAGCACAAATTGCTCACCAATCTCTAAAAAGGACACTGTCTCCTGGGTCTGCTCAGGCCACTGCTCCTTCAGATCCTCCAAAAGCTGAGTGGCGGGTTCAGAGATCACCCAACATTGGGACAGTTGTCCCACAGCCTTGGCGTGTACCACCACCTGGTCAGCAAAGATATTTGGATCGACCTGCTCCTACATTGCAATCAAGTTGGCAGCCTGTGGTTTCCTCGACTGGAAATCAACAGACTCCACAATTTCAAGTAACTGCGCAACTTAACTTAACTGGGAACAATTCGGCTGTCAGTGAAAGCCAAGGAAACACAAATGCCTCTGGAAATGGTTCAAATTCTATGTCCTTTAATATACTTGTTCAAACAAACTTTCCTAGTAATTCATCTGGAAATATTCAGCCCTCACCTCAGGGACAGTATTATCAAGTGCCCCCTCAACGTGTAATTCCAACTGTTGTTCAAGGTGCACATGGTGATGTTGTTCGCCACTCCCCTGTGCCACAACCTGTGTCACATGCTCCAGTGCCACAGTTTGTTCAGACATTTGATCCAACTCGTCACCCACCGCCTGCATATGCCCCTGTGCCAAGAAGACCATTACCAGTAGGTTGCTCAGACGTTAGCATGCCTGAAACCAATTGGCAGAATTTTGTGCCACATAGATCATCACGCTCTCCAGTCCCACCACCAGAGCAATGGAGGAATTCCTGGAACACCGAAACGTCATCAAATTCTGGATCCATCAGTGATGAAATGCCATGGTCAAGTTCCTACAATGATAGTGGACCTCCATCTCCACTGTCAGATTCGTCTTTTACTATTGATGGGCCAACAAAAGTTACAAATCCTACAGGAACAGTAGTTTACCGTCTTGACTCACCTAATACACATAAAAGGCGTCCCATCCCAAACATGGAGGTTAACGAAAATGGAATGGCATCTACTGAGGATGATGACCAAATGTCTGAGTGTGACATGGAAAATCTAAGCTTACGTCAAATTAGGCTGGACCGCTCAAAACTGAAAAATCTTTCTCCCGCTGCAACAAAATTTTATTTTGAGCAACATTTTGAAAACATAATGAAAACCACAAAGGAGAGGACAAAAAGGCGTGTACAGCTGGAGGAAGAAATGCAGATGGTGGGACTATCTCAGGATGCTCGAAACCAAATGAGACAAACTTTGTTTCAGAAAGAGACAAACTATAATCGCTTGAAGCGGACCAAGATGGACATCTCTATGTTTGACAAAATCAGCAAAATTGGGACTGGTGCGTTTGGAGAAGTTTGGCTTGTCCGAAAAATAGACACAAACATGTTGTATGCAATGAAAATTCTTCGGAAATCTGAAGTTCTGAAACGAAACCAGGTAGCTCATGTCAAAGCTGAAAGAGACATTCTGGCAGAGGCTGACAATGAATGGGTTGTCAAGCTTTACTATTCATTTCAAGACAGCAAATTTCTGTATTTTGTTATGGACTACATTCCTGGCGGAGACTTGATGAATTTGTTGATTAAATTTGGGATATTTCCCGAAGATCTAGCAAGATTTTACATTGCAGAACTTGTGCTGGCAATTGAGTCAGTTCATAACATGGGGTTTGTGCATCGCGATATTAAACCAGACAATGTTTTAATTGACCGAGATGGTCACATCAAACTGACTGATTTTGGACTTTGCACAGGCTTTCGCTGGACCCATGACACTACGTACTACCAGAAGGACGGTCACGAAAGACAACCAAGTTTGGATTATGCCATGCTCTCATCTGAGGTTATGGACTTTCCTCAAAATTACAATGAACATATATTACAGAGGACACTGAAAGAAATGAAGCCATTGGAAAGACGTCATTTCCGTAAGCACATGAGAAGTCTTGCACATTCATTAGTTGGCACACCCAACTACATTGCACCAGAAGTGCTACAAAGAAGTGGTTACACACAGCTCTGTGACTGGTGGTCAGTGGGAGTAATTATGTATGAGATGCTCGTTGGACAGCCTCCGTTCATGGCGGCAACTCCAGCTGATACTCAAATAAAGGTAAGGAGATGTTTGCATCTGTATCTGGGTTTGATGTCTGTGTTTGCTTTGGATTGACAAGTACCATTTACAGAAGATCAAAGTTAGAACTCAGGATGCAAAGCAAAGCAAAACCAGTTACAGTTTAGTTTGTCCATGTCTGCCTTTCCTTGCACCAATGTCATTTTGCCTTTGTTTAACCCTTTAAGTCCCAATACTGACCAACAACAATTTTCTCCTAACAATATCCATACACTGTCAAGAGATAAAGTTATGAGAATTAATAAAATGATCATCATAGAGAAAATTCCATGATCTTTTATCAAATTCTCTCAACTAATTCTTAAAGGAAATGTGTAGAGATCAGTGTGGAGAATTTGTATGTGGATATTGGGGCTTAAAGGGGTAAAATTGCAGTTGGTAAATATTATGACATTATAGTGTAGTTTCGTTCTCTTAAATTTTTTTTTTTGTTTTTAAGACAAGCCAGCTAAGCGTTAATTTGATAAGCAGCTGCACAGTGGGACTTCCTACCACCAGTACTTGAAAATACTTTATATGGCCATGTTTTGTTTCAGTTTTCTTCTTGGTTCTTTCCTTTGGTTCAACTCATTATCATATATTTCCATACCTGAAAACAAAGGAAAATAAAATATAAACCGCACGCAAGTAAAATTGACAGAGCCGCACTCAAGTTCTTTCTCATAGCTAGTTAAGTAATTTGTTTCCTCTTTTTTTAAATCTTTAAATAAATGTCTAAAATTTTCATTTTGCAGGTTATTAACTGGGAGAGCACTCTACACATCCCCAGGGAGGCCCATCTCAGTGTAGAGGCTAGAGACTTGATCTTGAGATTGTGTACCAGTCAAGACAGAAGGCTAGGGGCAAATGGTGTTGAGGAAATCAAACACCACCCATTCTTCCGAACTGTTGATTGGGGTTATGGTGTGCGTCGCTGGCATGCCCCTTATCAGCCACAGATCTCTTCCCCAACAGACGTCTCAAACTTTGAACCAGATGAATCAGAAAGAATGAGCAGTGACGAGGAAGCTGAACTTGCGGACACTGAGGCTGCTGCGGATGCAGATGCAGCAGCACCTAGGCAGGGTCGGCATCCCGAGCATGCATTTTATGAGTTCACTTTCAGACGGTTTTTCAATGATAGTGACTTGAGCTATACCTCTTCACGGAGATATTCCTCTGATGATAGTGGCAATGAAACTTGCAAAGAGCCTGTGTATGTCTGAATGTAAATTTTGTATAGTACTACTGCATGGTTTCTGTCATCTTTAGGTACTAAATGTTTAAGTAGTTTGTTATATATCATGGCAGACTAGCAAAAGCACAAAACAAGATTTTGTACTGCCAAATCTGCCCACAATCCTACCCTTGTTAGTCTGCTCTTCCAGGCACTCAGTCATTGTGAGCACATGTAAAGAGAGGAATGGAGCAGTTGTTCTACATAAGTTTTTCAATCTGGTCTCTAATCACAGGAAAAAATAACAGATTCCCATTTTTGGATATTTTAGGGTATTTAAAAAATACCCACAAAAATCCCAAATTTGGAAGAGTGAGACAAGTCCCAACCAGGGAACTTGGTTGGGAATTCCCTGGTTGGGACTTGTCTCACTTTGCCAAATTTGGGATTTTTGTGGGTATTCTTTAAATACCCTAAAATATCCAATATTGGGAATCTGTTATTTTTTCCTGTGAATCATTCTTTTCCTACCATCTGATTGCCTGGAGCAGCTGGCTATGCCTTTTAAAGCTCTCTGTGCTGTAATCGTTGATTACAAGCATCTATCTATAATCAGTAACAAATATTTTATATCTAGTGGTAAACTAGCCAATGGATGTATGGAATAAAACTCCTTGGTGACATCTGATCTAATGTCAAATTCTCGCCTTAAAAACAAGAATACACAAGGGAAATAAGGGAGAATTTAACAGTGTCAAAACACTTAAGGCTTTACTCCAGGCACTCCATCAATTTATTGTTCAAGACCCTTTTTAGTGTTTATAGTCTCACTCTACCTTCATATTGGCTCTGATTGTTCTTTCAGTGATTGTGTTGGTGCTGTAAGGTTATTGTTGTGGTTTATAAAATAGCATATTCTTATGTACTTCCCTTCAGAAGAACTTAAAAGTGTTACCTTTTGTGCTTCGTAGTGAGATCCTTGTGTGGATTTAACCCACACTTTTCGTCGATTTTTTAATACTCTTTTTTCCTTTTAGTTGTTCACATTTCTAAAACTTTAAGTTAATCTGGCAGCCTAAAATGAATAACGTAAAATTTGATGTAAGCTTTCAAAACACTTAAGATAGAGTGTTTATCATTCATGGATCAACAAATGTTCAAACGCTAGAACACATAAGGTATATTTTAAAGAACAAGTCTTTTGTCCCTCCATCGGGTAGACTCATATTTCGTGTATACAGGAATATTTCTCAAGAAGGAGTAAAAGTTATTGTCAGATATTTTACAGTAATTTTTATTATCAAATAACACAAGTCTTTACTGTGTTGAGTTATAACTTATAGCACTTTTGAATTAAAATGACTTATACTCAAAATAGAACGAGAGAAATGTGGAAAATATGCAAAAAATAAAAGAAATAAATTCTTGTTTTATTTAATCATTGCCTTTTTTATTTTCTCTATTTTCTGTTTATTATTTTAACTTAAGTTTTTGTTTATTTTTTCCCTGTAGATTAAGCTGAGTCATAATTCTTTAGCTTTTGAGTTTTGTTTGTTTTCTCCTAGCACTTAGCAATTCTGCTTTTCTTGAAGCTTTTCTTCAGGGGCTAAACGAAACTTAAGCTTAATACAAAACTGAAAGGTTAATGTTAAGCTATTGAGATGTACTAGAAACTCATATGAGTTTCTGGATTTATGTAATGCTTACCTTACCACTTCATCTGACGTCTGAATCTTTTCTGGGGGGGCAGGGGGGGAGAACAAAATTAATCAACACTGGTAAGCTTTTGGAAATTTTGTGTCAGCTTCAGCTGTTCGATGTATCTAAAGACCTCCAAACGTTGGTTACATTTTTTGAGAGAGCAAAAAAAATTCCAGCGTGTTTTACTTTTGCGCATGCTTTCATGCCTGGGTTGCTGATCACGTGATTACGTTTTATGATCGCGTGAACTTTTCGCGTTGCCTCGTTGACAAGTCCCTGCCTCCAAGGCGTTCTCGGTCAATTCATTTCTGACCACTGAAGTGACCCGAAACGCATAGGCCTCACGGAACTCCAGGCAAGTGATCGAACCCACACTGGTGGAGCCAAAATTTTTTTCCACCGTTACCCTCAGTTTTCCAGTACCATCTTCAGTCCAAATCTCTCGAGTTAATCTCTCGAGTCGTCTCCACGCAGTTGATTAAATTTGCGTTTCTCGTCAGCGCATAAATTCTTAACCAGTCATCTGCTAAAATGGCGCTACGGTTCCATCAAATAATTAATGAATTTCTGATGCGACCAGCCCGGCCTGTAACTTGGGGGATTTATTAGCGAGGAGCTGACGGGGCGTTTTATCAGATATTTTGTTGAATTCATAGAATTTTCTTAAAGCCTGTCTTGACGCAAATGCTCCTCTTAGAGTTCAATAATATCTATCTATAACTGGCACACCATAACCCTTGGCCCTATTTTGTAAACTGAGCAAAGCCTCTGCATGTGCAAAAAAGCAACGACATCAGTCACGTTCGACAATTTTAAGGCAGCACCTTTTAAGCCGGCGTCCCTAATGTTAGGTTCTTCAATCCCGTCGTCATGGCAACCAAAATGTACCCTCTATCCCTTGGTCGCAATGAATGAAATGACAACGCTTCCTCTTTTGCACGAGCGTAGCGTCGATATACGCGTGCGCATGCATACAGCTGAAATCTGGGATCGAAATTATATATTTTTTATTTCCTGAAGGTATCATTGAATAATGATGACTGGTAAATTTTCAACATTTTCGCATATGTGTTAGTATTTTCTTCTTCCTTTATTATTCTATCAACGGAATGCAAGAATTAAACGTTTTTAGTGGGATGACAGGCAAGACATTGAGCCCTATTGCAATTCTACACATACACAAGAACAAGGACGTTGATGATTGATAACCTTGTAACAGAGTTTGCCCTGAAGGTTACACATCTCGCCCTTTGCTTGTAACCTCTTTGATGACGTCACTGTTTTACCCCTTTTTGGTAAACATTGTATCTTACCCGTAACACTAGAGATGGGAAAAAGAAAAAACTAACTACTGCATTTTCCTTCGTATTTCTTTACCGAAAATGTTCCTCGAAAAAGGTAGGAAATGGCATTTCAGAGATCCTAAATATGAAACTTTTCTGCGGGAGCATGCCCGCATGTAGACTCCCCTATTTTGTAGCGCCTTCGGCAGTCTAGCTTTTGTTCCCGCGTGCGTACACCTTCTAACTCTCACTCTATGCCCCTGTTTCCCTCTTTGTTAATAATCTCCAGAGGAGAATATTGATAGAATCAGTTGGAAGAATAATGTGCAGTCCTTATCGAAGTATGAAATGACCTTGTCCTTAACCAAGTGGTGTGTTTACTGGCAGTGGAGGAAGTCACAACAAAAGACACGTGCTCATTATTTTCTCAAGAAATTTCACCTGCGTGTATAAACAACCGCCCTCCGTGAGTAAAAAACATGATAATAATAATAATTGCCACGTAATATTGCCAGCAATGAAAATTCACATCTGAAGATTCTCCTTTTTCCTCCAGACTATTTTATCGCTCGAAATGGAGCCAAAAAATCTACCGCCGCCTCTCCTTCATAGAGGTTCCTGCTCGGGATAAGCAGCAAGGGCGGATCCAGAAAACTCAGAAAAGAGGGGGGCTGTTTTGTAGATTTATCAGCGCTGTATAAAGGACTCTGAAGGCATATGTTTTCGAAAGATTTTACTGAGGATTGTTCAAAGTTTTAACACTAATTTTTTATAAAAGGGGGTGCCGAGGCCCCCTTGACACCTCTCTCTAAATCCGCACATTAAATTTTAAATACTGAATGAGAAGCAAAGGCGGCGCCGAAGAGAGAGCAAGTCAGCCTCCACCAATATGACCTGATTTTAACAGCGAGTGACGTCATAAGCATGTCTTTGTTGTTGGCCTTTGCTCCGACAGTTTTTCCTAGGGTAACTCCGGATTACTTAGCGAGCAGAGGTTTCTCTCTTGCAAGGCTTCATTTTAGTGTTTTCGAAGTCGTTCGCTTAGCGTATCTGTCGCGTAGTTGGTTTGTTTTACGCTCCCAATCAACTACGCGACAGGCAAGCCACGCGAGCGACTTCGTCAGAACGCTAAAAGCCTTGCGAGAGAGAATTGAAACCTCTACTCGCAGGGTAACTTCTGATTATCCTCTCTTTGAAAACTATCATATGCCAATCCCAATTCGGTCAGGAATGGCAGACAAACAACTACATGTGATAATCAATATTTATTTGTTTAATATGCAGTTTGCCTTCGACCTAGAATTTTCTGTGTTTTATTCTTAATTTCTATTTTTAGCTTCTTTATTTCAGCTGGAGAGAATGCCAAAAAAAGAAAACGACGACCTCTGACGAGATCTTCAAAAAATGTTACGGTGACCCGCTGTTCAGTTGATCTTAATACTCTAAATATACCATTCTCAAACATGCCGGTACGCGGTTGAGCCTTCTCTGGAATCACTGGGGGTTTTTAAACATAGAATTGACTACACGTTAGCACTATAAAAAATACCATGAAGAGTTCAAATGAGAAGGGTAACTTCTGATTATCCTCTTCTGATTATTCATCAATGAATATTTCAAAAGCCAACGTTCTCAACCCCTCAATATGATTTCAAGCAAACCGGACGAAGGTGGAGGTTTAAAGAGCAATTCCTGAGAGATCGCTCTCGAGCTGTTTCAGAAGTTTCGTTTGAAATTAGACCGGGCATGACGTCCTTGTATGTAAACAGATTATTGCTAAGAAAGACGATTAACTTTCTAAAACGAGAACCGTTTTGTGTTACTTTGATAAACATTTTGATTGCACATGACTTTCCGGTGATGGCGGTTTCTCATGTCAATACAATGTTGATACAAAAGTACAAACCGCGCGTAATGTGCGCCGACATCGATGCAACGATATATGTCCGCGTGTCAGGCGAGTTTTCATCCCACTTCCACGAGCAGTAGTCACGCGAGAACAAAAAAAGGAATTACGCGCAAGTACCATTGAACATTTTGCAACAAAGCAGAAATATGATAAGTTTTGCCAGTTTTTGTCCTAGTAATTGGTAAAGAGAAGTAAAAAAAATCAAAAACTTATTTTCAGACACAATTACTTCAGTTTCCTGTTTTACACGCGAATGTTGTTTTTCCCAAATTTTTTAACCAATAACCCCAAGCAAACTAGTAGCACATCGAGTGGTAGGCTCGATTTCCACCGTCTCCCGGGTGCCGTCTTTGATCCTCTCCGAAGACAGTCTAGTCTCTTTAACCGCTCGGACCAAAGTAGATAGTCTACCCGGCTTCACAGCCCTTCTTTGTGTCGTCACGCAATGCGGAGGAGGACCGTTGCGTGACAAAGAACGGCTGTACATGAAGAGAGAGAGAAGAGAAGAGAGCCCTTTCGGGAGTGCGGGCTCAATTTCCCAAACAGCGGCTGTTAATCGAGCCTAAGAGGTACACTTTTCCTTTGCGTGCGTATTCGACGGCGATGAGCGTAACCTGCACAGCAGGCGCTTTACGAGCCCAGCGAGGCGAACGCGGCATTTTGAACGAGGCGCGTTCGTGTTGCTTGGCTCATAGAGAGCTTGTTATGTAGGCTACGATAAGCGTTGAGCGACCAAGATGGTAGCAGGTTGAAACCTTCGTACACTTTTGACTCTTCCTTTCAAGAACTATTTTCCCGGTTGTGATATTTGCATTTGTAAGAATAACTTGGCTTATTATAGTAGCGGTTCGTTAGCCTCCTACGCACACGGCTTCACAGGTCACCCTCACTGTGTGAATGATCGTATATTTGAGTTTCGAAGAAATGCGAGGGAATATCGCAAAGGTTCGTGTTATAATAATACACCGCCATGAAAACTTACGTGTAAGATCACAATAAACATCTTTTTACATTGCATTGACGTTCTTGTAGATGTAAGCGGCGAACCTTTTAGGGTCTTGTATAAAGACTTTCCTTTCACTCTCTCTGTACTCGGCCAGGTTTAGTGTGAACGTTAGGGCGGTTCGTTGCGTTATCGTTGCGTAATATGAACAGCCCCTGAATATAACGCACAGCGATTCAGAAACTCTTTTTTATTTACAATATTATCCAACTGACTTCTTATGCATGTTTCGTAAATCAGCCTCTTCCAATACCTTCCATGCGCATGGAGTTCGGGCAGCCCAGCCTAGTCCCTAGGCGTTCTGTCTTGACCCGTTGTCCGCACGAAGTCTGGGAAAGAGCGCGCGAGTCTCTCTCGGTGTCGTCACAGCTCACGGTAGAGTCCAGGATTGACCGCGCTGAGAACACCTAGGGACGAGGCTGCGGGCAGCCAGAGAAATCTTCTTAAAGGATCAGTGTTGCATAACTGTTCAGCAGCTCCACTGCCCATGTCCTATTTAGGAGATCTACGAAATAAACGAAATGCTGCACAATGCACTGAACATAATTCCATCCACGCAATTCATCAGCAAGCCCTATTTGCTACAACTTCGTCATCCGAGAAATGGTACATCGTCTTGCGGTCTTGGGAAGTCTTTCTTCTTGACAACAGCATAATCACTAAAATATTTTAAAACGGCACTCAGTGCCTCTTTATCCAGCTGATAATGTTCGGCGAGTTTTTCCTCTGTCCATGTATCTGGGTCCTGAAGCCTTCTTGCGAAAAGTTCTGATAATTTCACCGGAGTTATTTTCCCCTTGGGTGGTTCCCCAATTTCCCTGGGGTATCTTGGCTCACGTGACCGGGGTAATTTTCTTTCAGATTCTTCGCCTGTTGGCATTCGCTGAAAAAGGTATTAGGTGAAGTGTTTAATTCAAGATGACAGACCCCTCTATCTATGCTAACCTGCGAGCAGGCTTACTCTTGCGAGTTCGGGGAAAATTTTGGCAGCACGGAAGCCAACAAGGCGAGGAAAAGTGAGCCTTTATCGCCCCTTTCTATTTTTTTAATCCATACTTAATTGGGTAAGATGAAACTTAATAAAATATACATAGTATGTGGTGAAAAAAAAAACAGAAAAGTTAAAAAAAGGATAGGATGAATGCCCAAAAGGGATACATAGACCAATACTGGGTGCCCTGTCAAGTGAAGTGAAAGAATTTGAAACATGCACATGAAAAATCAAATTGTAGATAATAGGGCCATTTATACGAGGAAAAATAAGACGCGAACTTTCCGTATAAACGGCACATTAAGTCTAAAATAAGACGCGGCTTAGCTAAGACGCGTCTTATTAGATAAGACATGCTAGAAAAAAATCAAAATACACACACTACAAGTGGTACAGTTCGAAACAGTGGTACCGCGAACGTTGTTTTCCCTTATTTTAATTTTGGGGAGTATGATAATATCCCTATTGCGCGTATTATTTAAGACGCGTCGTGAGGAGTGATCTATCTAATACGCGTCTTATTTTTCCTCGTTTAAAAATGGCCCTATTATAAAAAAGTAACCGGGCATCATAAGTAAAAAACGTTTGGTCCCATGTGAAAGTTGAAGACAACATAACTCCCAAATATTTAAAACTACTTACAGAATTTATATCGGTGTCAAAAAATAGATAACGTGAAAGAGGAAATACCAACAAGTTTCCTTTTCATGGATTTCGTCTTAGTAAGATTTAAAGTTAACTTATTTCCATGTAACCACTGGGCAACTTTCAAGAGATCATCATTCAGTGCCTCTTCTAACAGGTGTGGCTCTTTAGCAAAGTAGTACAGGACCGTGTCATCAGCATACAAAGTCACTTCGCACCAAGCCAATAGCTTTATTTGTCTTTAGAGAAAGCAGATGCTTGAGTACTGTTTTCTCATCAACTTCGTCAAGCTAGACTGTAGGTGGCCGGGACTGGGAACATAGCAGCAGCTGATATTTTATTTGCAAGACTTCTGCCAATGGATGAGAAATAACAGTTGAGCACGGATGCAAACGGGGTGGTGTGTTCAAAATCAACTACATACATTGGAGGTTTATGCTAAACCAGGCAGATAACAGGAACGAGAAGCAAACGTCAAAAACGCATGCAGGAGGTTTATAAACCATATGAACATCACATAGAAATATACAAAAAAGCGTGATGCAGGTGCAGAGTTGTTGTTTTGCTAATCATAACCAATTGCTTTCTGACGTTCTCGTTGCCGTCGCCGTAATGGCATCTTAAACTCCCTATTGCCTGTCTTCATAGAGCTTCTTCCGGCCCCAGGCTGGCAATATAACCGGTCGCATTAACGAGGTAATTTTATAAAGAAAATAAGTACTGAGGACTCTTAATTTCTTTATGGTGGACGATGGTTGGAATAACAGGGTTTTCAATGATACAATGTGTGGGCTTTTGTTCGCATCACAAAAAAGTGGTCTTGTTATGACGGGGCGGTCGTATTCAGTGACTTTATGATAGACATCACAAAGTGTCTCCTCGGCCTAACCTTCAGCTTAACATGAGTAACTCTGTCAAATATGAAGCCATAAGGAAGAGAGAGAAAGGGCAAGAGAAAGCGCAGAGTGAAAACAAGAACTGAACGTAACCAAACATTGAAAAGCACGTGAAAGTAAATTTCCTGCAAATTTGTTTGTGATCAGGCAATCTCCCCTCCATCTTTTCCCCTCTGCCCCTAGAATCACCACCCCCCCCCCTTCCCTGGCAGAAATTGCCCACAGGAACCAAACCAAATTTTGATGTTTCCACTGGCCATTGAATGGATTGGAATAAAACATCAGAGGATGTTAACCAGCCTTCATTGTTTGGTTTTCTTACCTTTTCGCTTTGTGGGTCTGTGGAATCTATCTTGAATTCTTTGAGCCTATCTAAAAATTCATCATCTTTTTGGTCCCGTTCTTTAAACAGTTCTTCATTACCTGATAACCAAGAGAGGATGGAATGACCACAGTGAAACCTTCACTGTCTTACAGACACCACTTATAATACACATCTGGGGGAGGGGGAGGCACTCAAGGCAAGTTGGATCATTATACGTTACCGGGAAACTGCCCACCTTCCCCTCCCCTATGCAACCATTAACGCTTACTTCTCACTAAGGGCAAAATGTTAGCTTAGGGGTGGGGCAGGTGGACAGTTTCCCAGCAACATAATTTTATAATGATCAGGAACGTTTGGGCATTAATGTGCAGCCGAGGCCTTCAAACCCTGACCCTGTTTAAGAAAAAAAACTATTCATTTCACTACCTTGTTCAAGAAAAGAGACCTCATTTCATGACCATGATTTTCTTTTTCATTCTACATACACAATTAAGTAAGTTTTTTAGCTAACATCATGAAAAGTAGCTTTTTTTTAGAAAAAATTGAAGGAACCACATATGTGGACCACTCATTTCTTTTTAAGACTTCAGATCACACCCTGTTCATGATGCTAAATAGTGAAATTGTACACATGTACCTTGCTCTAGACTTGAGACCCTGAAAACCATCTCCTTTTCAGTGGTGCACACCTGTTTAGGCCAAATAAGGGAGTGCCCCGCCTACCCCGGAATGGACGCCATACTGTAATCCCAGTAGTTTCACCACTAAAACACAGCCTGCATAGCAGATATAATGGCTAGCAATGTCCGCAAAGCAGCACAGAGATCCTTGTCCTGGACCCCTAGTGAACTCAACATATTAAAAAGAATTGCCTTTCGAATTTCCCATCACACTGATTGGTCAATCAAATAATGGCCTTTTTAGCAGGCTTATCATGGCACGTACTCAAATCCTGGTACACAAGTGGGGGCGCAGAACAAGGATTTCAACACTGCTTTGCAGACAGACTTAACCAGAGGTTTAGTTTTGGCTGCCACACGGGCTACTAAAACACTGCATTAATTATTCTTGTATCCCTTTCCGTCCTAAAACAGGCCAAATTCAAAATTCAACAAAAACTCCAAATCTTATTTTGGAAAATATTGAAATAAACATTGTACTGGGTAAAAGTACTAGAGGTTTTATTGAATGGTAACATTGCAGGATTTCATTCCCAAGCTCAATAGTTAGTACCACTTAACAAGACCCTATCATTCAATCCTTGCCCCTCAAAAAAATATCAAGGGATGAAAATATAAACATTTAACCTAAAAATGTTTTTGAACATTGACAATACTGAAAAGATGAAAGTGAAGAATGATTATCGCAGTAAATTTTCCAATTTAAGCAATTGGAAAGAAGAAGCCTGAAAAAAATCAGGGCTTCAACGGGATTCGAACCCGTGACCTCCGCGTTGCCGGTGCGTTGCTCTACCAACTGAGCTATGAAGCCACACATTGGGAGCAAGGTCAATTTATTGAGTTCATATCTCCCGTGAGGAGTGAAATGAAGTGAAGTATATGAAATAATTTCCAATTGCTTAAATTGGAAAAATTTACTGCGATGATCATTCTTCACTTTCATCTACAACCGCAGTTCAAAGATGAATTATTGACAATACTGTTATGGTGCAACTTACTATCAAGGTTTGATCACCAAAAAGATGAGTTACAAACAAACTTCTGAACTGAAAATCAACTACCAAGTTCAACTACTGCTGATGAATGCAAGTTGTGGACATGAACCGCTGAAAATCCTTTTTCACCTTTTTATCTTACTGTGACATGTTTAGATCTCCTGCAAGCTTCGAACTGACACCTCTTCCGAGGTCCTGTTTGAGTGAAATCTGACCAAAAACAGGACCTTGAAATTATGACTTAATAATGATTAAGTGGTGTCTGTGGCAAGGACAGGCACAAATACAACACCAATGCACTTATCCATGTAATGGGGGTGTTAGGCGGGGCATGGGGTGTGGATTTGACATTTTTCAAAAATTTCCATCAAATTCCCTGCCCATGAGCAAATCATTCTAGTCAAATGCACAAAAATTTCCCCACCTTGGGCCGCACATGGCTGCCTTTGACTTAAGTTTTACCTATGTTCTGGTTTCTAGTAAAGGGTAAAGGCATAACTGACATCTTTTATTGAAATGTGACAACAGTATGAAAACATTTTAGTCCTGTGAAGCATTGCAGTCATTTTAAAACTTAAACTTATGGCCCTGTCCCATGGATAAGATTATTATAACAATGCAATGTTACGTCCTTTTAAGAACAGCACCAAATGAAATTTATTTTTAAGTCTTGATTACTGACTGGGTCACTTACTTCTGCATTATCTATAAAAATGTTCAGGAAAATTTAAAATCAGTAAGATTTTTGCTCCCTTGGGTTAAAGGCCTCAAGAATATTAAACCTCACTGCACTTTTTCTACCTGATGGGGTTTTCGATTTTAAAAATAGAGCTTCCAGTTACCTTGATACAGCAATTTTTAAAATAACTGAGCAAATCCTTATGCACTGATTGGTTGAGAACTATGGTCTATGAGAGTATAGACCATGGAAATGATGTAACATGTCAGGCAGTGTGCCTGTTGTTTTGTTTTTGGTTTTTCAGAAATATAAATGTTATTGTAAAAAACAAATCGACCACAATTTTCCATGGTCTACACTCTTATAGACCATAGAAATGACACCATAAAATGTTCAAAACTTTGCAGTGAAACAACGAGCCACAGGCGAGTGGTTTCACTTGAGTTTTATGACATTTTATGGCATCATTTCTATGGTCTACAAGAGTGTAGACCATGGAAAATTGTGGTTGATTTGTTAAATCTTGAAGCATTCAATTAATCCCAGTGCACATTAGGCGCAGAAAGATTGAAATATCCCCTCCCCTGGGAGACCATAATCATTCTAAAGGCAATCAAATCCCCAACCGTTCCCTCCTCCCCCATTCCCTCCCCTTCCCGTCTGCAGAGTATGGCAGAAATCAACGAGATCTCGCATGTGCAAGGCTGTTTTTAGGCCCTACTTACATTTTGTTAAAAAACTCACACGTGCACCTGCCTTACTCTGCAGACTGGGTCTCCCCCGCCCTCGCCAGCTTTACATTGATAGGTGCATAATGTACCAACAGGGACAAGGACTAGGGATATACAACTCTCCCCTGTCCCCCACCCCCCAACCTAAAAGGGCCCTACTTGGTGTAATCTAAACACTATTTCTTTGGTACCCTATAACAACTTCCCTATTAAACCAATGCATGCATCTTGCAGTAATGACTAATGACTGAGCTATCCTGACGTTAGCCAAGAAGACGTTTAGCTTTTCTCTATCACATTTAAACGTTCATTGATCAATGATAATTTCGTTAAAATTTGATCTTACATAACCAGCTTCACCTCATCGAAGTGGCATTTCTCTAGCAGAGATAATTAAAAGCTGATATTTGCTTAGAATACTCACTTTTTTGTTCTTTAGCTAACGCAGCCTTGGAGCTCGGGTAACGTGGCGCTGGTCTGGGTTTATTTTCCAGAATTTTCTCCACTTTCCGCTGTGTTTCGAGTGGTCTTTTCATAAAACGGGTCACTCGGGCCCCCATATTGGATTTTTGATTTTTTTGGCAAACTCCGCTGACAAATCGGTCAGCATTTTTTTCTGCCCAGTCTACCACGGTCATTAGAAAGCCAGGAAATTTAATTTTTGCATCCAGGAATCAGGAAGCTATAAGAACCCGGAATACGATTGGAACCCGAAATCCAAGTTGCACTGACACAGAATCCGGAAAGCACAGTGTGGAATCCAGAATCCAAGACTCAAACTGTTTTGGATTTCCTTACACGGTAAGTCCTGTGACTACTACCCTTAATTACCGGTACGTAACCCCCTCCCAACCCAAGGATAGCAATAGCACCGGGTATACCAATCCAGAGCTTCATACAATGAACAACAACAAAAAAAAGATTTAGTTGCATGGCCATGACTGTATTGTAAAAATTATTCCAAATCATAGGGTATTTTATCGAAAAACGGTAGAGAAAATGTGTCGTCTTTCTATTTGATTGGATCCACATCTATTATTTTGCTTCTTGGATGACTATATTTTCTCCTTTCCCTGAAAGACAAGCTAATCTGTGACGAACTGTTGACCAAATTTTGGATTCAAGTCCGGTCGACAGTCGGGTCGGAAATCACGTGCGCGTCAAAAGCCTAGGGGTAGCCCCGGGGTAGATAATGACCATCCCCTAGGTCACGTTAATTTTGCTAGTGCATCATTTCTGGGACTCAAGAGGTTCGCAAACGCCCTGAAGCTACATATGGCCGAGAAAGAATGCCCGCAGCTGGAATTTCGAATATTGACTGCATTTTTCGTGAAACAGTATTTTCTTCAAAGTGAGAAGAAACGCTTAAAATTGATGGCAAGGCTGATCAAACAGCTATTGGTAATGCCTTCACTATACACTAACATTAAAGGGTTTTGTTGTATCGAGGTTTCGATGAAGCGACAAACTTTTTAGGGTGAGTTTTTGTATTATTTTAAGCAGGTAGGAGGCTCCAGTGGGTATTCGATTGAAGAAAGGAGGACATGATATTAGACTGCGAGCAGTCTCTTATTTTTCATTTGAGACACGGTATCTCTCCTCCTTTTTTGCCATTAATTTGAATAATTTTACCTTTTTGCTCAGCGCGCGAGGCTCTAGGGGAAAGAAGGACGACCGCTCGCGGTCTCAGTAACACAATGTAATAGCCTTTTCGCTTTTTTGAGGCAAACGATTAGCACGAAGCAGGAGTGGAGCGCGAGACACGCGCGACGGGGGAAGACGCCTCGCACTCGCTCGACTAAAAATTGCAAAAAAGTAATGCCTGCCGGTTCTAGGAAGTATTAGGCTCTATTGCTTTACTTTTGATTTTCGACAGAACAGTGCTGGTAAAATAACTCTCTAGAAAAGATAAAGCAACGGCAGATAAAACTTCATTAATGAAGGGGCTGACAAACAGAGTCGATAGAGCAAAACTTCTATTTTTATTAGTACATTACCAAAATATTCTTTTATGCGGGTCACTCGGGCCCCCATATTGGATTTTTGATTTTTTTGGCAAACTCCGCTGACAAATCGGTCAGCATTTTTTCTCCCCAGTCTACCACGGTCCTTAGAAAGCCAGGAAATTAAATTTTTTGTATCCAGGAATCGGGATCCAGAACACAGCTATAAGAACCCGGAATACGATTGGAACCCGAAATCCAAGTTGCACTGACACAGAATCCGGAAAGCACAGTGTGGAATCCAGAATCCAAGACTCAAACTCGCGAGACACGCGCGACGGGGGAAGACGCCTCGCACTCGCTCGACTAAAAATTGCAAAAAAGTAATGCCTGCCGGTTCTAGGAAGTATTAGGCTCTATTGCTTTACTTTTGATTTTCGACAGAACAGTGCTGGTAAAATAACTCTCTAGAAAAGATAAAGCAACGGCAGATAAAACTTCATTAATGAAGGGGCTGACAAACAGAGTCGATAGAGCAAAACTTCTATTTTTATTAGTACATTACCAAAATATTCTTTTATACGGGTCACTCGGGCCCTCACTCGGGCTCTTGGAGCCAGCAAGACAAGTCCTTATTGCTAGCTTCTTTTTCTATACCGTAAACTGCCACTCATAAGCACCCCCGGTTATAGGCCCATCGACTGGTAAACAAAGAAACATATCCGATTTAACCATCCCCTCCCCGAATATAAGCCCCCTCCAAATGTATTGAAAAGAATCAAGAGAGGATAAAGGGGACAGAGAAGGCATCCCCCATACACACCCTATTCCATAGGTAATTCGTCTCGAGTTATTTTTAACACCACAAATCTCAAGGGGGATTAGACAACAGCCAATCACATAGCGCGAATGTGTTGCGCGTGGATGACCCACGCTCAGAGCCACGCGCCCTTCACGAATTGACGCAGAACAAAATGGCGGAAGACGCGGAGAGCGAGATTGCTATTCGCCTTGTCAACGAAAACGACTACAGAGAGATTTCTGCTAAAGCTGTGTCAGCGAAACGGAAATTAAAAAAGAATCGCCCTTGCTCTCTTGTATAGAGCTAACAGTACAGCAGGGAAATCATTAACACACTGAAAATTCTCTCAGGATCATTTATAATTTACAGTTTGAAGAGAGTAATTTCTGGTTTGATATTTATTCTTTTATTAGTCTTTTATTATTCAACAAAAATAACACTTGGCGTCCTACTTGCTTTATTGTACAAACGACCGGTTTCAATAGACCGGCGAAATTTCTCATTTTATTAAAGCACTGAGGTTACGACAACTTCGAGTTAAACTGATTTCATGGGTTGTCAAAGAGTCCAGCGATTCCCTTTTCCCAGGTGAGCGCCGACTCATTTCGCTTCAATATTCAGGAATGCTCTCGATCTCTTTACGCTTTCATTGCCTTTCGCCCGACATGTTTTGCACGGTGTTTAGTTATGCAAAACCTCCACGAAACATCCATACAGCGCGCGAGGTAACTTTATCCCGAGTCTAAAAATAACTCGAGACGAATTACCTATGTAATAGGGTGTGTATGGGGGATGCCTTCTCTGTCCTCTTTATCCTCTCTTGAAAGAATACAATTTATCAAGACGTTTTGAAGCTTAAATGCAAAACGTATTTTGATCAGCACTGCTACAACCTCACGAAGCGATTTTATTATTCCCGTTTAAGCCCCCTCTGATGTAACCCCCTCCCCCTCCCGTTTATAAGCCCCACTAAAAGCCCTTGAGATAATGTTTAAGCCCGGGGCTCGTAAGCGGCAGTTACTGGTTTATACATTTTTCACGCTGCACGCTGCACTCTGCAATATAACTCGACACACAATAGAACTCCGGCAACAACTCCACAAGCAAAGCGCTGACTTGACTAACTGTTTCCTTCCAACTAGGTAGGCCTAAGGTAGCAAAGGAGCAAAAGAAGCCACACTGGTGCATAGACGTCTATACGTGCTTGATCGCCGGGAAAGAATTCTTAGCGGCCGAGCAACAGAACTCTGAACTCCATTGCGTGTTCTAGAAGGGCAACTTAAAGCTCTTGATGGAACTCGATCTAGTGGCGCCACTTTTGATTTCTTTTTCCTGCCTTTTGGGCGAGTGGTATTACCAGAGGATAACGGTCTGTTGATTTTTTGTATCAATCCATTTGCAAGAGCAATTTCGTTTAGAGTTTTCTTATAAGTTACGATGTCTCGTAAGAAGTGAGGCAGCTTGACACAGTCCTGTCGAGCGATGCGCTTGATTCTCTGCAGTTCATCGCAGCATATTTTCCCCGCGTAGAACAGCTTGAAGTCAATTTCGTTAACTTGCCGTAGAATCATCACAGCTCCTACAAGAAAGATGCATCAGAATAAAGAGGTCGCTTGCATGCCGGAATCTTAACTGAGAAGCTGCACTAACCTGTGGTGAGGCGGTCCTCCTTCCTTTTCTTTTGCCTGTCGGCAGAATTTCGCGTACGACGCATTTTATTATTATTATTATTATTTTTTCTAATCTAAACCTATTGCTTTTATGACGTTCTCATTGCTGTCGTCGTCGACGTTGCTTAAGCCCCCTTATCACTTGCGTCGTAGACCAACACGCAACACCTACCTAACCATTACACAGACTTACCTTCAAAATAACACTGATCATAGCCGCATCCTCCTACTTCACTGCAGTCTGTCAGGCAGCGCTTTGCTCGAACCACCTGCTTCCACCGCTGTTCTGGATCATATATGTACATAGCTAGATGCTCGAACAATTCCTTAAAGGACATTTCAGTTGACATACATGCAGTGTCTGTAAGAAAAAAATCAATAATAATAATAATAATAATAATAATAATAACAATAACAACAACAAATAATAATAATAGTAATAATAAGTTAATCTATATGGCGTTATCACCACTAATTTCCAATGGCAGTTTCCAAGTCACTTCTAAATTCAATGGCAAGATCTATTTATAGTCAACTGATGCCTAAGAAAAAGTTCGAAATAAGAACATCTAATCTGCTAAGATTCTAACATTGTAACATATCATAAAATGCAATAAAGTAAAAAAGGAAATACCATGCTTCTCTGAAGAGACGGGTTTCAGTTGGCTTTTAAAGGCAATCCATAAAAGGTATATACTCGAAAGAGAGTCTGCGCGTGCTCATAAAAGTTTTCGACCCGGGTACGAAGCTTATTTGAGGGAAGCGATTATTCAAAGCATTGAAATTGCGAATTACACCACTAAGTTGTTATCTTCACGACGATAACAAAAGCACAGAAAAAACGTATGTTTGCTTTGAAGGTCTATATCCCTTTCCAGATCTAAATAGTAAATGCCGCATGGAGAGTGCGGAGCCTAATTAAGGTCAGGGAGATTTAGCAAAAAAAGACGGCAACGATAAGGTCCAGAGGTTAATTTATTGAGCAAAGGCAGGTTTAATGAGCAAAACAACAACTCTAAAAGTACATCTAACTTTTCGGTACATTACTTTGTCGTCCCTGCACGACTACGATATGAATTCTGTACTGGGTGAAGACAACCGTTACGGAGGACGACGAATCTTTCTTAACTTGGTTGGGGTCCTTATGAATTCAACTCTAGGAAATTTCACCTGCATTTGACATACTGAGCCATTTGGACTTATCATTATCACATTTGAAAGAAAGTGAATTCATTTTATTTGCCAACGTTTTCCCTGTCGCCGCAGTCATGGTTCACTTACTAGTAAACCCCGCCATGCATAGTGTTTTGGCTCCTTAATACAGCGAGGCGCTCTTCCGCGTAAATAGGTCAGGTGTGCCATTCATTCAAGTCCGTGTTCGCCCAATAATTGCAGACTGCTTTTCTTACTCGTCTCAAGGCCGGATTACAACAAAGAAGAAAGAGCAAAGAATTCCGTTTACCTCCATGGCGCCCACTTGCAATTTCAAACTTTTCGTCCATGTTAAAAAGCATCGCAGCGCGAAAAAATTCTGTTCAAGTCGAGTCGTCATAGCTACAAATGTTCTTGATACTTACAATAAAGCAAGGCGGGTAGAAACAGCATCTTTACTTGAGCTTCGTAAATGGTGTTTATAGCCGCCAACCCTTCTTCATTAACCATACCGGTGTAAGACTTTGGAGTGCGCAAGTCGAAATTTTTCCTGTTTGAATACCACGGCTGCAAACCATCGTTCACGGCGCGAAGCTACCGAACAGAATCACAAATTAAGGAAAATAAGGGAAAAAAATAAACATCCTGAAATGGAGTACCCTCATCAATTGATGTTTCCCTCTCACTAGCTCTCAGATAGCAGGCAGAGGGAAGTTGCCAAAACAAGGTTAAGGGATATTGGAAGCGCGTGATCTGGGAAGGGTGCGATGGCGGGAGAAAGAGAGAGCCAAAAAGAAAGAGTGTGGGCTAGAAAATTGATTTCCTGTTTTAAAAAGCGCGCGTGAGAAAGATTGCCGCGATAGGGCGATAGGTAGTTCTTCTATTCGCCCTGTCAGTAGCTTTGCGGATTCATTTCCCCTCTTTTTTTATCTCGCAGAGTGAGAAAAAGAAGAGAAACTGCTCCAATTCAAGCGCCTGGTCGGTGCTAACAACTTCCTTGATAATTTCGTGACGTCGGATGTTTATCTTGTCGTATTTTAGAACAATCATTGAAGTGACGTGTTGATAATTTCCTGTCAGCTGATCTATTAAACCGGTAAATTGCTAACAGGGACACAGAAAATGTCAACAACGTAAAGATCGTAGAAATATTATGTTATAAACCCGAAGATTTGTGATACTTAAACATGGAATTAAATCTTGATTCCCGTAAATTTAACCTGTGACAAAATATCTATATATTTGGCTTCATATTCCCAAATCAGAACACTACAACTCTGTTTTACACAATGTATACCGCGACCATTTTTACCGTAAAGTAGATCAAAGCGAGCTTATTTCATGTTAAACCTGAAAAAATCGCTGGATTACAGACAGAGCAATACTGACTCCTGTAGTTTAAAATGAAACGTTTTGATTTGATTAGACAAATCTGGCTAAAGCGTCAGCATTTGTAAGGTACACCCGCAGGATAAAAAGATTATAAAACCCTTAATTGATGGGGATCTTAACTGACTTAACATTTCAGATGATTAAAGGCTTGGTGAAAAAGGATACAAAATGAGTCCCAATTTCGTGGTTCATCAAACTTTTTATTCCATGTTCCCGAAGATAGACGTTTTCACTGCTTTGTTTAAGCCATAAGGTGAATTTGCGTGCCTCAGGGCGATTATAGCGAACACTGGGGCCTTGCCACTGCATTTTTCCGCTGCCGTTTAGATCGTTTGTCCAAACAACTTTCAGAGATCCATCCAAACCGTGCGATTTTAAATACTGCAAGACAGTTTGGGAAGCCTGACCAAGCGATATCCTTTGTCCAAACGCAGCATCCAAAAACACATCCCCAGTACCGAAGGCATCTCGTACGCGCTCCAAAATGTACCTGGCTTCCGGGAAAAAATCGAATCGAATCCTTGTCTTCTTTTTGTCGATTCCAAGCCAGTCGACAGAACCAGCGAATTTGAACCTGGGCAATTTGCCAAACTTGAGAAAATTTTCCTTCTCCTCTTGAAGATTATTTATGTGGTCGCTCGACTGATACTTAAGCGGCGTTTCGCGCAAAATTTTCACGGAGGTCTTGACCGTGGGATCCAAAGCACAGCAGATTTCGTCCTCGTCCGAGGGGGGCATTCCCAAATAGGGCAGCTAAATTTCAACAATACTAAAATGTTTTATGAAGTCCGACATTCTGTCGCAGGGGGATACCACGGCGTCCAATATTTGTACATATTAAAACAACTCACGGAGCTCAGCCGGTTACAGCATCATCATTATGCAATAAGGCAATTACAGTAATTAGCGTCACCATGGAAGCAACTTTCAGCTTGGTAACCAGGCTACAATTTTCTGGCTAGGTTACTAATTTTCAACATGGCGGATGGTTTGAGCGTGAACGAAAATCAGGTAATGAAACGTTTTTGACACATTTTCTTTATCCTGATGTGATATTTGGATTAAATTTACACGAGAAACGTTTAGTATTGTCTCAATACATGGTGTGTGTTCATTGGATGCGTATCCAAATCGCAACCTTGGGTCAGAGTGGAAATTTTGATACAAGAACTGAGGAAGAAAACACGAGACAAAGGTCAAAGGAATACTCTAGATATTAATTTTTTTTTCGATTTTCCCCTTCTTGGGTAATCTTTGTGGAGTACGGATATTAACAAACAAATAGAACTATTTTCTATTTTTCTTTGAATTCTTTACAAAACTTTAGAATCACCTTGATGATGATGATGATGATGATGATTTGCCTCAATTATCTGCGCATGCCCTGGCAGCTCTGCAAGAATTTTACAAAGAAGAGAAACGAAAACAAGAAAAGGAGGCATCAGAAGGAAACACAGACATAGATGAGAACTGGGTATGATTGAACTGTAATATGGTTCACATAACAGTCATTCATTAAAAAAAGAGATTATTGGACAAATGACATCATGCAACTTAACAGACAGCAGTGACTGAAAATGGCTGGAAGCTTTCAGACACTTTAACGATTAAGACAAATAGCAAAATACTGAATGGCAGCTAGCCTCCACTCCATTGCTAAAAATTTTGAATGCCTTGTAAAAGAAGTATATATGGCTAAGGTAATAATTCCTGCATTTGCATGTATTTCAGGTTATTCCTTTTAATTTATATTTCTTTTGAATTTCCCAACCAATTTTTTATTCAACAGAGTGATTTAATGATCACTTACAGTCCCTAATCTCTTTGTGGGTAAATAAACTATGTCCATGTCTAGATAGCTCTGAGAGGCTCTCCATTCTGTTTAATTTGTTTCTTTATGGATCATGTTTTCTTTTCTTCTCACTAAAGCAACTTAGCCAGTTTTGGTACAACGATGAAACGGCATTAACGCTAGCAGAGGAAGCCCTAAGAGCTGCTTCTAATGGCAGGTAAAAATCTTAACAATTATTACCTCATAGCCAGGGCTGAGGGCTGGGGATTTTCCTCAGCTTCTCTGGACAGGACCTCCAGCTACTTCTATTCATGAAAAAGGAAAATGGAACCAAAAAAGTTCCTGGCTGCTCAATTTGGTGCCTACTAATTATTGTCTCTACTTGGTACCTTCAAATCTTAGTGACAGCCTACATATAGCCCCTTTAGCAAACTATATATATATATGTTGTAGTTAATTTTTTATTTCAGTTAATTTTTATTTTTCCATTGTTTTGGGGTATGGTAATGTATGCTAATGAATTTAAAACAAAGGAAAAACAAAAATTAACTGAAATTAAAAATTAACTGCAACATATATGTTACAGGTCAAAATTATATTCAGGCTAAAATTTTTTAACCCAGGTTGATTCTCAGCTTCTTTGTCTCTGAGCCCTACTTCATGAATAATCAGATCTTGGAAACAAAGGAATTTGAGAATCAACCCAGGTTAAAAAATTTTAACCTGAATTAATTTTGAGCTGTAACATATATGATAATTGACTAAAATCATATAAATTCTTGCTGCGGTGAAGTAAGTAGTCTTGTAGCTTCCTGTTCTTTACAGTTGGGCCATTGAATGCCTCAAGAAAACCTGCACACAAGTTCTGCATGGAAGAATATAACTTTATAATTTTCTAATAAGCTGCAGCGACCTTTGTCAGTTTGATTTATTTTAAAATACTTTTATTAATTAAGTTATACTACTACATGAGAAATTTCTGCAATTTGATTGGCTTAGAGCAGTGGTATTTCAGCTTAATTTGAAATACCTACATGTGCAATTACAAACCTTTTGTGGGTAGTAGTATAAACAAACAAGACGCTACGGAGCGTACACTTCGGCGTTGTGGTTGTGGAACTAATTAATTTTAAATGCGGAGGAATCGTAAGAAATCAAATATGGTAAGAGTAAGGTGTTAATTTGTGAAATTATGGGATTTATCAGGATATGCTGAAAAGAGCAACATCCAAGAGGCCTACTTGCCAAAAACTTGCATTTCGGGACAAATTGTCTCCGAGATATTAGCCCAGTTATGCTCTGATGACTCCATACAAATCCTTCTAAAAAAACAATTCTCTATTTTTCTTAGTCACATTAGGCCTCAGCAAAAACAGCATAGCAGTCTCATGTACTGATTAAAGATATGTAAGGCATGGGTAAGGAGTCAATTACGTTGAGCATGGAATTGGCTAAAACTCAAAGTCACGAGTTCGAATGTTTTGAGGATAACTATTCACTGACTATCAGCATGCAGGGATGTTGGATTAACACAAGGAAGTTTAACACCAAAGGAACATAGCCTTTACAGAGCTTTAAAACACAGCATCCACCAACACAAACTTGACTTGAACTTTGAGTAAAACTAAACAGCCTCTACCAATAATAACAAACTCTCACTTGAACTTTAGATATCTTACGGCTTCCGCGAACTTGTAAACACAATACCTGAAAATCGACCTTCGTCACACTTGACTAAACACAGCAGTCCAGCTCGTGGGAAGAAACTTAGAACTCGCTTGGATCTTGTATACCGTTTGACATAAGGTTCTAGAAAATACTAAACAGCAGGGAATAGTAGTAGCTTTTCGACATATTTTATGATTTCAGTAACTGATGCAAATCTGCTGACTCATACTGAAATGTAACCTGATGCCCTAATTAATTATTCATGGCTAATCCAAAAACGTAGAGAACGTTCGAGAAAGTCACGCAACGCATGAAAGCAA